GACGGTCAGCGCAGGAGAGGGGCGTCTCGACGTCAGGCCCAGAGCTGGTCCGTCCGTCGTCCGGCCGACTCGAGGCACCAGAGCCGCGGATTTCGCGCGAGATATAGAAGCATAAACACACATACACGGTTCTCGCACACGCACGTAAGCACGCAGCCAGCCAGTCATCGAGGACCTCGCACGCACGCACGCGGTGTCCCGCGTGGACAGACGAACACAGAGAGAAAGAGAGAGAGAGAGAGAGAGAGAGAAAGAGTCGCTCGCTCAAGCACACGTGCTCACCACACGGGGGTGGGTGTCTCTGTGTCTGTGTGTCTGTGTGCATGTGGTACGTGTGTGTGTCGGTCGGTGGTCCAGGGTAATAAAGAAATCGAGAAAAAAAAAGTTCAGTGTGTGACACGAAATACAGTGTGGAACAGAAAACGAGCCGTCTAGGCGCCACGTGCCGTTTCGAAGAAACTCGTTCGAGTGCGCGGGATGGATCGAGTGTGTTGCTCGCCGAGTTGAGTCGCGTTTTCTTTTCCGCATGCGACCGTTCAGGAAGTGGATTAACGGGCGCGGGGAGGTGCGGCTCCCTGACAAGTGTCGATGGTGAAGTACAGCAGTGAATCGGTTAACCAGCGAGCGGAGTTACGGAGCGCGGAACCGATCCGGTCCACGCTGACGCGCGGGCCGATGACGTGTCCGCCCGTCTGAACGAGATTTCGCCCGGGAAAATATAGCCGATCCCGAAGATCGCCGCAAGCACAGGAATCAACAGGCAAGAAGGGATGTCACGGAGAAAGCAAGCCCGACCGAGCCGTGCCCACCTCGAGGAGGATCTTGTCCAGCAGGGACCTCTGCTGATCAATGCCGTGGGAAGCTTGAACGAGACCCGTAAGTGATAATTATCAAGTGCATTCGTTAAACGACCAAACATAGAACAAATTGTGCAATTAGTGCCATGCGAATTGGATAGGGTTACAGTGACCCATCCTTCGGCCACTCATTTTCCGGAAAGTGAAATCGGTTAGGGACTCGTTCATCCATGTGCAGAATCTATCGAAGAATTGTGAATTTATTGGCAAGTGGATGGACTTAGGGCTTGTGTTCTCGGATGTTCAAAGTGTGGACTCTGTCCAGTGTCGTCGTTTAGGAGTTCCGAGTATATTGCAATTCTGTAGGTACATTCTGTAAAACCATGATCGTAAAGGGGTAATAGGTTCATTCGATTTCATGAAAGTGCCTGATGTGCTCTGTTATGGTACTCTGCGATCAAATTATTCTGTCCTCTCTTGTTGGAATCTGTTTGTAGTTCGACTACATTTCGAGGGAAATAATAAAGTACATAAACACGGTGAAAACGATTGTGCTGAACATAAGGGTCAATCCAACTCGAGCCGACGGCGCGTCACTCGCGAGTGTCATCGGAACTTCATTCGCGATCGCTCACCGTCGGACTTCGCGCGTCGCGACGCTTTCGAACACCCTTTGCTACGACCCCTTCTCTGAATCGTGAAACGAACGTTTTATCGTCAAAAACAACTCGTGCTTTCACGCTTACGACAGTGACGCACTTCATTCTCGAGCTTCTACTTTCTTCATGTAGAAAAGGAAATGGAGGGCAGACTGCCAAATAGCGATTCTACTTTCAACTAACTGAAATCGAATTTTCTACTTTTCGAGAGTAGTCGATGTTTTGACAACTTTGCTCGAGATTTGTCTTGATTAGTGTTCGTAATTGATACTTTGGAGTCGGTTTTATGTTACCGGTCTTTCGAGGTATTTTTGTGTCGCCATTCTATTTTCAACAAACTGAAATTGAAATTTGCACTTTTTGAGAGAAGAGGAAGTTTTCACAACTTTGCTTGAGATTTTTCTTGATTAGTGTGCCTGATTAGTACTTTGAATTTCATGTGACATGGTCTTCGGACGTATTGTATCGTAAATCATCAGAGTGGGAACTAATGTTAAGAGTTTGTTATAAAACTTCATTTTGCAGTTATTTTATTACATGTGTAACCATTTTTGAATAAACTCTAGTTGTCAACGTAAATTTGAATTAATTTGTTACTTTTGTATTATAATTTGTATCATAGACGTGATTCTGAGTCAGTGTTGGATCAACATTTTTTGTTAGTCTAGAAAAGTTTGATAAGTGAATTATATTTGACATATTATCGTTAGAGATAGGAATTCGTAAAGAATATGAGGAATATGAAAAACTGAGAAAAATAGTTTGTCGTTGTTTTTTGGTGTATTCTGAGGTCAATCCGGCATTGTTTAACAGAACATGGAATTTAAATGATTTTGTAACGAAATACGTAAATTTAGGTAGCAGCTTAATATATCCTGCTTTTTATGCAAAATTTCATTGTTCAACGAATTCGATTTATTTTATCGCGGTTGAATTATGGATGGGATTAGAATATGAAATTTGGCCAAATTTTCAACTTCTTAATTGAAATAAATAAGATAGGTTCAAAACAGAATGTAGCTGAGTTTACAAAAATATTTTTAAAAATTTTGACAAATTCAATTTGTTATACAAGATTTGCAGTTTTTGCAGCATTTAATTTGTTTTTAGTGGTTGATGAGTAATCCTACCATTAATAATTGAAACATATTGAAATTTGTATATTAAAAATTATTCTTTTAATGTCATTAATTTAATATTACTATTTGTAGTAACATTGAATATTATTATTTTTAATATTTAAGAATATTGATATGAAAAATGAGTACCTGTTATATTTTTACAAAACTTGCGAAATTGTTAATGCAAATATAAAAATACATAAATAAATGAATAGAATATGTATATTAAGGGAAGAGTAAATATTAATAATTATCTTCAAAACATACATTGATGTAAAAGTATGAAAAGTTAAAATATTTTTACAAAAATTGAAAGAACCAAAAAATTGAAATTGAAAGAAAATTAAAAGCTCTATAACAAAAGTTAAATAAATAATTAAATATCTCCATATAATTAGAAAGTGAATATCAAAGATAATAGATCTCAAAAATGATTATTTTGAATATTTTAAATGAAGGCAAAAGTGTTGAAGGATGTGTTTGACGATGAAGTGTTTTTACAAAATGACAAAAAGTTATTAAGTATACACGAGAAATAATAGTCTTAACGTGAAAAGTCCTAATTATTTTCTGAAATGACGAGAAAGCGTATTTTAGTAACATATTAAGACAAGAAAGTGGTATATTACGTTGACGTTAATTACCAAACTGACTGTTGTTTCAATTATATTCCTTCTGCGGCTAATTCGAAAATATTATTACATTCAAATAATTCAGTTTACAATGAATTTCTAAGAAATATCTGCATCTTGTTATTATTTATATTTAATAAAAGAGGATGATTTAAAATATGACAATATTAGTGTATATGTATTGTTTCAGAAGAAATAATCGTATTTAATATGACACACCATAATGTGCATTACTGACACTCGACTGGCAGATTTAAGACCCAAATTTTAAATACGTTTTAGATCAAACTGACAACACTTGAATGTTACTTTGACAATTATATTCTTTTCACAATTTGGAAGGAAATCGAATCGGTTATATAGGTAATAAAGTAATAATAAATAAGTAGTAGTCTACTAATAAAGTTGACTTTTGTTATATTGCTACCGACGGAGCTGCAACAACATTCTTGCAACTGGCAATGTACGGAAAAGAAGTTTTGTATTACTTCGTGAATTTCTGTGTGCACAGTGTTAAAAGAGCATAAGTGTCTGTGAAGGTTCATGTAAATATGGCAATATAACAAGAGTCTTCTTACAGCACAGTTTAAAAACGATAAAATATTTAAAATAACAAGTCTCTTACAAGTTGGTATTATTTGAACAGACTTTGAGTACAAAGATATTAAAAAATAATAAAGACTTTTATACGAAAACATATACGAAGATAAAAGTAAAAATTTCGAATGGCACAGTTATTCCCAAAATGACTGATCGTTTTTAATTTCAATAAATTATACTTCATTTATTACTTTTGTAATAATTGCATTTTATTTTCTTGTTTCATTCGGAAATATTTTAATACAAAATTATTTTAATATTTAAATATTTTTCATTTACTCACAATTTTTATTTGAAAGTTATACAATACTTATTTTTCTATACAAAAAAATATTTTATTGACCCAACATCTAATGTCTGAAGATTAACTGCGACAGTGAAAACGGACATAAGTATAATAGTTAGACAAATGGATCGTTCATTTCTCAAATTTAAGTTTATAGAATTAACATAATATTAACAGTGTGTAGTCTGTTTTTGTTATTAACTATTCGATTAATTAATATAATTGATTGCTAGAATAAACTGCCGTATCTAGTAAAACATATGACAAAATGGACTGCTTCACACAGGTGACAAAAGTTCAAAGCTTACGCAATGTTACGACTTTCTATATTACATTTCTAATGTCATATTAATGGAATCTACTCAAAATTATAATACAATCGATTCGTAATTATTTAAAGAAACTAAATTTGGAAAATAGTTTCTTTCATACGCGGTTGGAAAATGAAAGCGAAGGTGTTGAAATGAAGCGAATCTAAGGCGTCGATCATTGATGACTAGCAAATTAAAGCTATTGATAGTTCATTTTTCAATGATATTGCAATATAATTTTCTGTTAACGATATTTATCATCTATTAACATTGAGTGACACGTTAAAATTATGGACACTTCAGAAACTTCGAATAGTAATATCCAATAATTATATTATTATTATAATATTTAATAACATTCCATTCACTCAGCAAATCTTTAAATATTTCTTAAAAATTAAAATAAAATTATACTTATAGGTCTACATAAAAATACTATAATTATTCAGAATATTAATTATTTAATCGAATTTAACTCATAATAGTGGAGAAATTAGAATTATTTTAGCGTTGTTACAATATCGGTATATTTTATTTATTACAAACTTGTAATTTATACACATAACTTATTATAAACTCGTAATTTTAGTTGGAGTAAATTTGTAAGGTATTTGAGTAAAATAGTTAGATCGATGTTCAATATTTTGAAAAGTAAAAGTTAACTTCTGTATTGACAGAATGGTTCAGTAGTTCACTTTCACTGTCTTCAATTATCGATGGTAGTTGGAAAAAGTTCAAAAATTCCAATTTGCTCGCTCTAATTCGTACTTGGCAGCCATTTCGGAGAACTTAATCCTTTACGGAAAGAATTATGTTATCATTTTGTTTAAGTGCGTAACTTCGTTGATACTTGTACTTAATATACACAATTCGCGGAGTCATTAGTTTCACAAGAAACATTTGTTTATATTTCACAAAAATAGTAGAAATGTTTCCTTAAAAAGTGACACAAGAAATCATTCCTTGTTGAAAGAGTAGATTTATCGAAGACGGACAAGCTTGGCCAGTCATAAATAATTCAAAAATAATTGCACATAGTATTTATAAGTAGAACACTTGTAGATGCTAGTGGAAACGAACAAATTATTAATTGCAAAAAATTCTATTAAAATAGAACGATAAAAACGAAATAACTATTTGCAACTTTGATTGGGAAAAAATGGAAGAAAATATACGAATAAAATTTCCGTTACCAGTACTGTTATTATTGTTATATTTTTAATATAAAATAATATGTTCCCGTATGAATTAAAAGCATGTTCATTTTCCCCGAGTCAACGTATAAATTTAAAGAAATAAGAAACGAGAAACAGCACTATAAATATTAGACTAATAATCTAGATAACTGAATAATGTGGAAGTAATAATACAGGTTTTATTATTCACTGTTGTACATTATACGACTGTCACAGTAAAAACAGTCATAACTAGTACGGCATGTCATAAAGTATATCGCGATTAACAATGCAA